CGAGGTGAGACCAATGTGACCAAAAACGTACACCAAGTAGCACCTGCTCAAGCCACCCTTTCCGCTCTTTCCGATATTATCAACAGCGCGAACACCCGCCGAGCGATGGATGTAAAGGAGGACGAGACTCTGCAGTACGCGATTGCTGCTTTGCAACAGGAACTGGTCAAGACTAACACTGGTGACGACACCCACCACGTCGATGCCCTCACCGGCACCGCTGAACACATCACCCCCACCAAGCGCGACGGCTCCCTCGACCCCTCAGCTTTCCTCGGTCAGTCTTTGAGCGGTGTCTCTGTTCCCGTCGGAAACAAGGACTTGCTTCAGAGCCTCGCCAAGCGATGGGCTGAGGAGGAGGATGCCGCCATGACTAAGCGTGCCCCTTCGGTCAACGGCCGAGGTCAGCGACCCCGCCCTCGTAATACTTCGGAGCACAACAACGGTCAATGCTCGGTTGGTACAGCTCAGTGCTGTAGCCAGATCATCAACGACGAGGGCAAGAAGAAGACGCTTGCCGGCCTTCTCGGCTTCAACTCGATCGCTGGTGACATTGGTCTCAACTGCCAGCAAATCCCCATTCTTGGTATCTCGGCTCAGAGCATCTGTAAGGCGTCGCCAGTCTGCTGCACCAACGTTGTCCAAGATGGACTTGTCAACATTGGATGTACTTCCATCCCAATCAACTAAGCTTTTCTCTTTGGTTCCGGCAATGGTTCTTTAGAGTTCTTCATAGAGGTTTAGGTTTTCGGTTGTGCATCACATTCAATCTTTGGCATTTCACACTCGCATTGGCATCGTTGGTTCCCAGTATACTGTCGGCGACACGGGATGTCGTTCGATCGCCCTTACGTCGTAATCACACTCTTTTTTGTCTTGGTCATCGTCCTGTTTCAAAACACTCTTTTCGCGTACTACTCCACTCTCTCCTCTCCTCACTCACTAACAGCAGCAGCACTCGAACAATATTTACCGCTTTCCAATCGTTAGGTACCGTGCGACTTGGAGCGGTTCTAGCATCTCATTACCCTCACGGTCCATTTCATCCTAGCTTCTCTTTCCCCCGTCCTCTTCTCTCCCCTAGTTTCGATCGTTTCCCCCTAGCTTATGTGCTTCGTGTTTTATGGCTTCGATCGGGCTCCGCCTCCTATTTGTGTTTACTAGCCACACAAACCAGTCGAGTTAGTCGTCTTATCATGCTCGCTTCCTTTAATACACCGGTCGTAACGCTACTTTGAATTTGCTTGTGTTTGCCTGTGCTTTTTTTACAGTCCACACTGATCTGACGCTGAAACATTTGAATTATGAATGCGCTAGATACATGTCGTTGAAGTTGTACTCTTCCATGGAGCTTCGCGATGCTCGCATCAGTCTTGTCGCTATGGATGGGCAAATTTAGGGGTGATGAAGGTGTCGCTGAACTCGATGGTGACCGGCGTTGAGAAGGGTCTTCGGTCTTTGCTTCTATCGCGCTTCGGAAATGGCGTCAATGTTCATGTTGATCAATCAGCATATGGCAGCGTAAGAGAAGGCTCTCGAGCGTGCTGAATGTCTTCCTAGCCTGTTTGATCGACGTTCTCTGTGGTCAGAAGGCATCCTTTGGGTGTGAGATAGGGTAAGAGTCAATGCTGAGATGAGCAACAGTGAAAGACGATGATGGGGATGGGAGCCTGCGACAGTTTGATTTGCAGCTGCCGCGATGAGAATAGGAGAAACGATCGTGCTTTTATACCCGAATCAACTACATTGAGCTGTGGCTGGGCCGTAGAGCACGAATGGCGATCGTCGAAATGAACTCAGACGGGCGTATCATAATCGAACATGTGCGATCTCGGGATGTGTTCGACTACGAGGTCGAGGCGCATATGCATGCTAGTGAATTGACCAGTCGTTCGAACATGCACATTATCCCACTCTGCAAAGAGACATACATAACGCCAAGAAGCACGAATTGATCAAGTGTTTGCGAATCGTTCGTTGAGCTGCCCAAATATGAGGACTACTGTCGAGTGACTAGATCGCAGCATCTAACCTGAAGGCCTCTACTCTATCAAGAATGTGTCCGAAGCGATAGAGACAGAAAGAAGGCTCTAGCAGCTTTGTTCTGGAAAAGATGATGCCCACCTGTCCCACCTTCCATGTGCGACTTCATCCGGCGGTACCGATTAGGCTACCGCGTGGGTGAATTCGTCATGCTTTAGGAGTAATGTGGGTCGCAACAGACATGCTTCGCTAAGTGTTCCTTGCTGAGTTCTCCGGTTGCCCTTTCTTTCTAGCCATCATGGTCTCTTGTGTTCAAATATAGGCTGATACCGCTGCTATTGCCGCGCCTCTCGTGTTCCGCTCGATCCCTTCCCATGTCGGATGCAAACCAACAGGCAGATTGGCTGGCCAGGCTATGCAACAACACTGCCTCTCCTACCCCTCGCACCAACGAAGACCTTGTTGCAGCCGGGATCCTGCTGCCATCTTACGACACCCACGATGTAAGCAACGCTCCAGAAAGTCGATCACCGATTCATGCACAGAAAGTATGCTGACATCGCCGACCGAATAACTCACAGGCCTTTGTGAACAATGTCGCTATTGTTGCCGCGACATTATATTGCTGGGAATACATCATGTAAGTTCAACATGTCAGCAAGAAGATTGCTCAAAGCCAAGAAAGGGAACAATGTGTGCTCATCTCCATACTCCCTCTTCATGACGATGCCATGCGACGGACGCTTGGACTCGCGATGCTCAATTGGACGTGTTACAGGACCGTGCCATCCGAAATCCAAATCTACTTTTCAATACCTTGGACCGCCCCTCATCTCGTACTTTTCGTGCTGATGCGATACTCTACACTGATCGCCATCACTCTCGGCCTATATGCGACTTGGCATCGGCAGCACGGCAACTGTATCGCATACAGCGAGGTCGCTACACTACTAGTCCAGGTCTCGGTCTCAGCTGTGCTGGGTTGGCGTACGATTGCAATCTGGCAGAAGGATGCACGTATCATTGTTATCATCGGCCTCCTTCTCACCACACTCATGGTCTTTTCGTCCCTCCTCGTGCTCAGCATGAAGTCGGAAAGGCTACAAAACGGAGCATGCGTGCTCGTCCAAAACGGCAACTACGAATCCTTCCCACTCTATTGGTTCTATGCTGGTACGGTGGTCTACGATACGCTCGTCATCGTGCTGAGCACCTATCGCCTCTGGCAGCATCACAACGACGTCGGTGTCTTTCCCGGAGCCAACGTGGATGACACGAGCAAGGGCGGCATCGGGTGGGCGCGTTGGATGCATTCGCAATGGAACAGCATCACACCTCTCCTCTTTCGACTGACATCCAACGGCGTCTTGTACCTGGCCTTTTCGACCGGCTTCAACGTCGTTTGCTTCCTCATCGGCCATTGGAACGAAGCTCGGGCGCAAGATATGATGCTGCTGTGGTCGTCGGTCATGTGGGTCGTCTGCCAGCGTCTCGTCTTGCTGGAGATCAGGGCAACGTGGGGAGATGGACCTGGAGCTATCGGGCTGAGGTCCAAGGGTGTATCCAACAGCGAGACAGACGGATTGATCGTACAAATATTGCAATCGTCCTGGGCTTGCAAGGCTCCACTTCCGAACAACAACGGTCAACAAGTAGACACGTCAAAGGAAGAAAGAGATCCAGAAATAGTACTAAGCCTGTCCGTGGACAGCTGTCTGAAAGCAGCACCAACGCAGTGTTGCGGAGGAGGAGCTCAACAGCATTCATCACAAACGCTTGGAAGAGTTCACACAAGGCAAACTTCAACTGGACAGCCATCTATCAGAAACACGGGTTTGGAAGAATCGACGGTCCAACAGCTTCACGACTTTCGACCTTGTATACCCGGGGATAGCTACGACGGATTAGGGTCCAGGTCAAACGTCAACTCTGAGCGCATGACCACCATGGACGGCGACTTGTCGACGAATGCGTTGATCACTCAAACCAACGAGACATCGACCGAGGATAAGCGGAGCAGCGGTTTTCGAAATCGGCTCGGAGCGCTTCGCAATACAAACAGCTCCAACAAGCTTCTCGCCACCCTAACCAAGTCGTCGCGTGAAGAGGGCGTGAATGTCTCCATTGGTAGCTCAGAAGCTGCACCACCTTCTTCCACCTCGAACGCAATTGACCATCCTCTCATGGATCTACCTCATCCCACACCTACCGCTCCTCGGCAACAACGAGACTCGACCTCCTCTAAATTCTTGCGCATTTCACAAGCCTTCGACCGCAGCCCCAAGCTTAGTGCCACTGCACCTGATACCTCTGTTCGTCACTCAACAACGACTGAACGAAAGGCACAACGATGCAACTGTGCAAGGCGTAGTCTCACTACCGAAACGAACGCTGTGCCAAGACGAAAGGAGGAAGAGTTGCAGATGAAGAAGTCAGCTAGTGCAGGAGATGTGATATCAAGTTTGGAAATAGCACATATGTTGGCCAACATGTCGGATGATGCTAAGTCGACTGCTTTGGCTCTTGCAGGTATGGAAAATAGTTCTTCCTTGCCGTCCGGATCATCATTCACTTCTGCGATTCGAACTGAGACCGAGAGACCTAGATGGATCATTCATCCTCCGCTCATGTGATAGTTTTTCCACTCACTGCAACGAGTCGATCCACTTTTTTTTTTTTGGCCGTGATGTTTGCATTTCATTGTCTCGAAGCATATTCTGCGGAACAGCTTTTGTGTATGATTAAACGCTCATGCCCCGAAGCAACAAGGTCCTTCACGGCTTGAACGAGACCTCTCAATGACTGCCCAGCATCACAATAATCATCCAACGGTCACCAGCGGAAAGACCAATAGCAAAGTCTCGCTGCAAGCCCGCCTGACTACGTTTAACTACAACCTTCGCCAACGACCATTTGCAAATGACACGACAGCAATGCGTATAACCGCATGAGCAGCGCTAAGAAGAGGGGTGCAAAAATTTAATAAATTACCACACATAATCAATATAAAAAATACGTTCCCTGCCGGGGAATCGAACCCCGATCTCAGCTGCTCGTGTTCTGAAAACCAGAACTTTTGAAAAAGCCGTATCTTGACCGTTAGACGAACAAGGACTTGCATACAGGTAAATCTTTTTATAAAGATTATATATAGCACACGGATAGTCACTTATCCTGGCAGACAGCTTTGAACGCCCACTGACCGACATGCATCCACCGTGTGGTTGACGCGCGAATTTCGCCTCGCAGATGGCCTCGCGTCCAAGAGTGCATTACTCACGCAACCGGACTCTTGAACGTGATGCTCGGTGGCTCAACTGATAAAAAGAGTGCGACACTTAGCGATAGAAATCGGGAGATATCAGTCTCAGTACGGTGTTCAAGCTAAGGAGCAAAAACACTATACTAAATTGACATGGTAGAAGAACATGGTGAGAGCCTCGAGCTCTCTGCCTGGCATATATACAAAAGTTGGCACGTCCCATATGTGGGAACATCACCCTCAACAACAAAGTGTGACAACGAGTGGGATCCAATAGCATCTAATCTCTTCTCCTGAGCCGTGTCTGCCCGATCCCCGATTAGATTGGATCTACCCGATCTCGATTGGAATCGTTACGTCCGATCTCTTGGAGTCGTGCTGGATCGTCATCTTCAGCATCAACGTCTGTTGCCGAACACACGTCTTTAGATGAACCTTGCTGATGAAAAGATCGAGCAAGTCCATGTCTCTGGCTTACTTCAGGGTTCCTCCCTGCTCGATCCTGGGCTAATTGAAGGTCTCAACCACCTCAATATGAAGAACGTCAAGAACCGAACGAAGCTACTGGAAAACTTCGTTGTCGTCGAAACGCTTTGCAAGCAGTTCTTGCTGCCTATGAAGCTGATTCGTCTTCACGAAGTTGTTTTTCGAGCTGCTTTGTTTGGTCGTTTATAAATTTTGAGCTTATTTTTTTTTTTTTTGTACGCCGCCATACAATATCGTTATCCTCAAAGTTGCCTCCATGATGATTCTCGTTCTCTGACCAGCAACGATGATTCTCAAAGTGTGTCAAGGAAAATTACAGATGCTTGTCCAACTGTCTCATTGTCATCCATGCCAAAGCTTGAACCATACCACAAAGGTCTATTCTTATGCGGTCTGCGCTTCTATCTGCACCATCGCTCGACGGAGACACATCACACTCATACACTTCCTTTGATACACTTTGTTTGCGTCAAGTGACGAACACACATTTCGCTTCGAAAAGCACGGCAGCAATCTTCTCACCTGCATCAACGGTCGCACTCTCACAGACGAATTCAGACATCATTGTAGGAAAGCAAGGTAGGACTCTTCGACTATGATATGCACAGGTCCTCGAAGAGGAGATAGAAACCAAATCGGGAAATCAACACGACTTTTCTTCCTTCAAAACGAACCAGCATGATATGAACCATGCCTCGCTAGCTCAGGCGGCTGACTAGCAATGGGTAAAGTTTTCTTTTTTGTTCTTGTTCTTGACATATGGGTTTGGTGTTTTTGTTACCACAGCAGGTGTGATTCCTGCCGAGCATAAAGAGAAGGACGCAAAGCAAGCTTCGCGTTAACCATGCCTGGCAGCGAGAGCAAGGCAGACATGCGATTCGAGGAGAGGACGAGATGAGCGATTTCCGAAGTGGAGTCATGCAAAGAGGAGAGAGTCGAAGAACCTGCCGAGATCTATAGTTGAACAGAGGGTGGCGTTTCCGCTGAAGCTGGAATACATCCGAAGGAGGTGGGAGCGAGCGAGCGACGGCGACCCTGCAGAGCTGTTCCGGCGATGGACGAAGGGATATATACGAGACACGAAGACCATCGCACGAGCAAAGAACAGCTTGCAGAGAAGGCGAGCAACACCGACACCTACGCGATCGGAATCAAAGCGACGCGTGGGTGGTTGACCGCCGCCAGAGAGATTTAGCCTCGAGCAGCAGCAACCTTTTCAAGAAGCTTGTCCTTGGGTGTTTTCAGGCCATCGCCCTCGATCTTGCCTGCCAACTCCTCAATCTTCTCCTGCAACACCTTGGCGCCCACCAGCAAGTCTGCGACGAATGTGTAGATGGCTGGGATGTCGATAGAAGCGTCGTCCAGAAACTCCATGTGCGGCTCGAAGCCCTTGACCGCAGTCTCCTCGTCGAGGTGACCCTCTTCGCTGAGCTTGGCGAACAAGGCAGCGACGTTGGCGACATCGTCCTTCTTCTTCTCGATGGCAGAACCGACGATAGAGTCAACAAACTGCGATCGTCGTGATGCTGGCAAAGCGTTGAAGGCTTCGACACCCTCATTGACGTCCTTGATCTCGAGGAACTCCTTGATGTCGTTAGCGATCTTGCGCTTGGCCTCCTCATCCGACATCTCGGTGGATTTGCCTTCGTCCTCGCCCTCGCCCTCGCCTTCGCCTTCACCCTCACCCTCCTTGTCGTCGCCTGGCAGAGGCTTGGTACGGGGCTGAAGGTTGAGCTTAGGTCGCTGTGGCTCCTCAGCGGGTGCCGATTCGCCCTCACCAGCCTGGTTAAGCAAGGAGAACATGTTGGTCTGCGAGCTGGTGCGGGTAGGGGGCTGGCTGCCGTCCTCGGATCCCTTGCCTGGGTTCTTCCTGCCGAGCATAGTCGAGGGACCGAACGACAAAGGTCGCCCAGAGGTGCCGCGCTCGATCTTCCCAAAGTGCGAAAGATCACCAGCCTTGCTGGGACGAGGTGGAGGTGCAACACCACCAACGGTGCTCCAGCCATCAGGGCCATCACCACGAGCCTGGCCACGCTTGGAGCCACCACGGGAGATGGGACCGCCTCGTGCACGTGCGGCGTTCTCGGCGTCGCGCTGCTGCTGCTGCTTGGCAGCCTCGGCGTGAATCTGTGCAATGGTCTTGGGAGCAGCGTTGTCGTGTCGCGGAACCCACCCGGACTCTCGCAACTCGATGACATCGACGAGCATGAATCGCATACGCGAGTTGATGGTGGCCTCGTTCTTGGACATATTCCTCATGCGATCGAAGTAGACATCCATGTGTCCTCGTGCTTTCTCGATGTCGAGCAGCTTACCGACAGTGGTCATGAGCTTGCAGAGCGACTCAATCTCCTCCTCTTCGGGGTCGGTGGCGTTGGCGAGCAACTTCCTGATGCAGACATGCATAATACGGTCTGACAACATGCCGAGCTTGAACAGCTCACCAATGAATCGAACCAAACCAAGACCACGTCGCTTGGCCTTCTGAGCCTCGTAGTACTCGTCCGACAAAAGCTCGGCTTCCTTGGGAGCGTCTGATGGCTTCTCACCACGCTCCTCGGCAGCCTTGGTCTCGGCTTCGGCCTTGTCGTTGCTGTCCTTTTTAGCCTTGTCTTCAGCTTCCTTGGACTTGGCAGCAGCGATGGCAGTGTCGCGCTGAGCCCAACCACGCTCGAAGTCCTCCTGACATCGGTTGAGCAAGTACTTGCGGAACAGGATACCACCAACAACGGGCTTGTCATCGGAAGTGCGAAGGCTCTCGTCCTTGACCTCGGGACTGACCTGCTCCATGAGCTTGCAGCAAAGGCGAGCGTACATCTCGGACCAGGCAGCCTCGTCGGTAGCCTTTTCGAAGATGAGCTGAATGACTTGTCGCAATGTTCGGCCATCGTCTTCGGACACGGACTTGTTGGCCCATTCGAGGATCTGGTCGGATATCGAGTCGAACTTGTCCAGGGTGAGCTTGTTGAGCAGACCTTTGACCTTTCGCTGCACCATCTCGGGCGAGTCGGCTTTGACAGAGGCACCTCGGCTCCATCGGTTCTCCGAGTTGGCCAGAGGCACGACCTGGTCGAGAGGAATGGTGGGTCCTCCCTTCACGGGAGGGTTGACTTGAGGACCACGGCTCGAGTTGGGATCACGTTGACGGCCGCGGTTGCTCTTGGTTCGGCCACCCTGAGGAATTCCGGTGCCCATCATGTCACGCGAAGGCAAAGTAGTGCTACCGCTGCCGGTTCGCGAGAGAGGCTGGGATCGTACTCCAGCGTTGAAGGAGCCCATGACACCGAATGCACCCATAGCGCCACCACGAGGACCCGAGGCAGCGGCGAAACGCTCCTCGCTGGTCTTGCCTGGATGGCTGAACGAGCCAATGCCGCCCTTGCCGCCGAAGCTGGAAGAGCCACTGATTCCCAGACCCTGAGCGCGGCCAGGAGCAGCAGGAGGGCCCATCGCCGAGGCACGTCGGTTGAGACGAGAGATGGCGCCCGTGCCACCGCTCTCCATGCCGATGGAAGCCAATGGTGGCAGGTCGGCAGGCTTTTCGGTGTAGACATTCATGAATTGCAAGAGGAAGTCTCGGTCGTAACGGAACTTGCCTGGCTCGGCAGTCTCGTTGAGCTCAGACTTGGGCGAGCTGATGTTGTTGGGGTAGCTGACCTTGTTGAAGTTGTCGATGAACTTGGCCGAGGTCAATGAAGAGGAAGCGCCGGACGAAGAGCTCTCGGCCTTGTTGGCAGGAGCGTGCTGCGAGGCGGCAGCGCCTTGGGGTTCGCTAGAAGCGGCAGGAGTCTTCTTCTTCTCGAGTGCTTCGCTGTCGAGCTTGATGCCGTTGGAAGCAGTGCCAATGGTGCTAAGAGGCTTGGCAGGAAGACCGGCGAAACCAGGTGTACCAGGCGTGCGGGGAGTCTGAGGAAGGCCAGGCGTCTTGGGAGCATCCTGGCTGGAAGGAGGCACCAAGGAAGCCTCACGAGCCATGCGCTCAACGTCGGCGACCGAGCTGCGCATACCAGCTGCGTCCTTGTCGCCATCCTGGTGGAGCGAAGCCTTCTCGGTGTCGATAGGAGCAGGCTTAGTCTTGCCCTCCTCAGCAGACGACTGGGCTTCAGCGGCGGTAGCAGCAGCGTCAGCCTTGGCCTTGGCCGCCTCTTCAGCCTTTTTGGCCTCTTCAGCCTTTTTGGCCTCTTCAGCCTTTTTGGCCTCTTCAGCCTTTTTGGCCTCTTCAGCCTTCTGCTGAGCTTGAGCTTGAGCCTTGGCCTTAGCCTCTGCCTCGGCTTCGGTCTTCTCCTTGTCTTGGCGTTGCTTCTTCTCAGCCTCGGCCTTCTCCTTGTCTTGGCGTTGCTTCTTCTCAGCCTCGGCCTTCTCCTTG